AATTTACAATTATTGATGAGGGTAGGTGAAATGTATACTTTATGGTCAAACCAGAAATTTTCAGCCTTTAGCTGGAAACATCCAAGATTGTAAAGAAATCTCTGAAACTTTTCTGAAGCATTTAAGAGAAGAAATGAAAGGAGTGATTACCAAGTACTGGGAACAAAAAAAAATTATTACAAAGAAGTAGTTTTTCATAAAATATGTACAGTTTTAGTGCAATCCCAATCTAGAGTCTTAGTGAGCTATTTTAATGAAGCATTAGCAACTGAGTTTTAAATTTACCTGCAGAGGCAAAATGCCAGATAAGGCAAGGAAAAATATGGAAGGAATATTTTAAACTAGATTGTTATTTTTTAATAAAGGAATTTGCTACTGCTTTTAACCAAGAAGTTACACATTCTAAGGGTCTGAATGGAAATTAAACAGACCTTTGTTGCCATTTCTCTTTTAAGTTCCTTAAGGAACATTTTCTACCCTTTAACATTTCAGTAGTTTAACTTGACTGTTGTCCCTCCTCCAATTCAGGGAGGGCCCTTCTCTCTTCCCCATCACTGGGAGGAGGCGGAGCATTCTCTCAGAAGCCTGGAAGCAATCAGTGCCTGGCCATTCTTGGTGGAAGGACTGCATTTCAGGAGGCTGCAGCTGACAAAAAGCTTCAAGGTAATGACTGCCTTAAATATAGTTATTTTTAGGGACTTCTCTGGGTCCAAGAGTAAAGATAAGAAAAATAGGAATGGTGGTTTTAAAGTGGGTGAGATGAGTGTGTGGTTTTGAAAGAATTTCTGGCATTTTAAAGGAATTAACCCTTTAGCATTTCTGTATCTCCCAATGCTTTAAAAATCTATGATGGGAGAAGTGATCAGATTACAGCCTCTATATTAAGATTTCAGTGCAGTATAGACATTCATGCTAATTTATTAACTTGGTATTCCATGTTTATGTTGTGGAATTTTATTACTGCTTGAATTTTTAAGCATTTTTACTTTACACAGAAAATGATGGATAAAATATGTGACAGCATGGGAGAGAATACTCTTATGAAGTGATTGAAAGGCTATATGTCACCTGTATATGAACATGGAAAGGGGAACATTTGGGTAGTTGACTGAAGACAATTGTACATACATATGCATATATATGTGTGATTAGAAAAAAAAACTGGGAGAAAATAAACTCCCATGTTAGTCAGCATTTCTCAGTGGTCAGGTTAGCCCAATGCAGCATCTTTAGAGTATATTTTTCCATGATTATTTTTATAACCATGAAAGAAAAGTGAAGCTGAAACAACATATCCATTTGTTTAAAACACATAAGCATTCTTAGGTGTGTGCAGATGTGCAAACATCCTCCCTTTGTTTTTTGCCAATAGTGGATGCTGTCCTGGACCTGATCAAGTGTGTAGCCTAATTGCTGTGTTGGCTACAGCCCTAAGTGTGTCCTCGCAACTCATTCTTTCAAATCACAGGTATGGCTTTGGTCAGCAAGAACTATTTTTCTATATCTTTTAAGATTGAGATGGAGAAAGGACTTGGTTTATTTCTATAAACAGTTTTTTAAAAATATTGTATGGAATGATATAACCATACAGTGGAATATTATATATGTAGAAAATAAATATGTATAGTGATTTGAAATATCTGATAAACAGTATAAAGTGAAAAAAGGAAATTACAGAATAGCATTTATCATATGTTCTCACTTAAAAATCAATATGTATTTTAGTAAAACATAGGTATGCTAGCTACTACAGTATATGCAACCAAGTCTGAGAAAACATATCTGCCACACTATTAATAAGATCATTTGTGTAGCTGGAGAAACAGAGCTACCTTTACTACTATTTAAAATAGTACCAATACATACTTATTTATTTACTTGGTTTACATCATTAGGTAAAATACTGAGATAAAATGTTGTAAATGTGGGAAAAATATAAAGTAATTCATAAAAATCATGTGGGAAATATTTACATAGGAATATGTTCAAAATATGTTCTTAATTGAGATCTGATGTTGGTTTGAAAATATTTATTCCTATATGCAAACAATTATCATATTATAGAAAATATTCATAGTGACTATTTGCAGAGTTGTACTTTATTTTGTATATATCTCTCTGCACCCTTTCAATTTTTAATAAGCTTCTGTATATTTTTTATAATCACAAACATTGTAATTGAAAACTTTATGACCCTGTTATAATTTGACAAAACAAAAGCCTTGAATTTAGAATAGAAAATTGTAGAAGCCTGAGAAGGCTTTTGGCTGGCTAAATGTATTTCATTCTATTTTCATAAAAAAGATCTGATTATAATTGAAGCCCTGATTATGCCTCCAGTGGAGGTTGCAGTTCTGATTCTGGTCACAAGATGGGGCTTCCCAGGTTTACTACATTTTCTTCAGGCAACCATTTTTATGAAAATGGGAAATGAAGCAATGAAACATGATTTTGTTTTACTAGACTGTGAGACAATATGTAGAGTATTATTAAAATTCCAATGAAAAATAATATTTTGCAAAGAAGAAAAAATCAACATAATGATTGATGTGTAGATTTAAAAAAAATCTATAGTCTTGTTCATAATAGACACAGGGCAATTTGTTACCTTCTCTCTTATCCCCAGCTCACACTTTTCTAATCAGAGAGATTATTTCTCCGTTAACCAAATAACTATGTCACAAAGAGAATTTAAAAAGAAAAAGAAGAAAAATAAATATGGTATCTATATCATAGATGAGATTTCATCTTATCCCTGTGTTTCAGAATGACATGCCTTCTAAAATTTGGGTAGGAAAGTTTCTATATGCTTTTTCCATTTGTTTGGTTTGAATTTCTATCTCCTTTTATAAAGCCTTTCTTCTTTTCAAATGAGAATCAGTACAACCGGGTCATAAGACCAGATCCTCTATGACACATGTGAGGCTCTTCTCATTTCACAAAACATTTCACATTAAAAACTTGTTGAGAACTTGAGTTTGAATTTATTTTGCTTCCTTCTCTGCACAGTATTTTAACACTCACATGAGATATGTTTTTATTGACTTTTTTTTAGAGAAGAAAGGAGAGAGAGAAACATCGATCAAACCTGCAACGTAGGTATGTACCTTGACTGGGAATCAGACCCACAATATCTGATTCCCAGTTCAATTCTCTAGTCAACTGAGCCACCCAGCCAGTGATGCAACCATAGCATTTTTTAATTAGAAGCTACATTTCATACTAAAACCATGTTATTATAGATTGAAATTTTGAGGTATAATTTATTTTGCACCCTGTCCTATAGCCATAACATTGTGTAATTAAAAATCATCAGTTTTAGCCTGATCAGTGTGGTTCAGTGATTGAATGTTGACCTATGAACCAGGAGGTCACAGTTCAATTCCAGGGCAGGGCACATGCTTGGGTTGTGGGCTCGATCTCCAGTAGGGGGCATACAGGAGGCAGCCTATCAATGATTCTCTCATCACTGGAGTTTCTCTCTCCCTATCCTTCTCTGAAATCAATAAGAAATATATTTTTAAAAATAAAAGTCATCAATTCTAGTTTGTGAAAAGAATCTCATGTTAAACCACCATGAAGAAATTGTGCAAGAGGCTATTCAAATTTCTACCTGAGTTTTAGCTGCCTTACTCTCATAAATCTTTAATAACTATCCTACCCAATTAGTAAGCATAGCAACCATTCTGAATCTCCACCTTCTAAACTCATGCTTTTAACAAGGTCATTGTGTTATTATTGTCCCAGCCCAGGAGATGCATACTTTGCCTGCTTTGGGTAAATAGGAAAATAATTATACCTTAAAAATTATAAAACTGTGTGTTCATCTAGAACAGTGTTTCCCAAACTTTTGACATATGTGTACCCCTTCTATAATTTTTGTAACGCTGAGTAACCCTCATACTCATGAGAACGTAGAATTAGGCGCAGCTAAGCACGGTGCAGTGCATATCCCCACCAAACTCCGGTGCAACACGTACCCCCACCAAACTCTTCCCATACTCCTGAGGGTACGCATACCACACTTTGATCTAGAACAATGTTCCTCCACGTTCTTGGACAAGTTACAATAGAATCACTTGAGAACTTAGAGATACAAAATGTTGGATCCTATCTGGAATCTTCTGAATAAAAGTATCAAAATGAGACCTAGAAATATAGTTTTATGAAGACCTCTTGATGATTCTGATACATGAAAACTTTGGATTCCCACTGCCCTAGGTATAGCAGTAGAGACATAAATGTCCCAAAGAAGTTAATAACATAGAGTACCTGATTTACCATTGCAACTTTTCCCACTTCTGCCAGCAAATGCACTGATTCAGTCCTTAATAATCATTTGTAAGATTATAAGGACAAGTTCTTGAATTTGAGGTATTATAAACCACTTCTTTAATTTTTTTAATATATTTTATTGATTTTTTTACAGAGAGGAAGGGAGAGAGATAGAGAGCTAGAAACGTCAATGAGAGAGAAACATCGACCAGCTGCCTCTTGCATACCTCCTACGGGGGATGTGCCCGCAACCAATGTACATGCCCTTGACTGGAATCGAACCTGGGACCTTTCAGTCCACAGAACAACGCTCTATCCACTGAGCCAAACCGGTTTCGGCACACTTCTTTAATTTTTACACTCACTTTATATTATGCTGCATTTTCCTCGTCCATATCATGTCCCACTGAGCATTATTCCTTCTTTTATCTCTATTTGTAACTGTTCACCTTCCACTTTGGCAAAATAATCTTTTTTGCTGATAATTTTCTTCTTTTCCTTTTCCCTATTGCAGTATCTCTCATATTGTCCCATTTAAGCAACGGGCTCGAGCATCCTTGGGAAATTCTGCTGGAGGAGAGCAGACCAAACAAGCTGTAAATACTTGGTAATTTTAAGACAAAAGAGATTTTGGTGAGAGTGTTGTTTTGGGTAGGAACTGCCTTAAATAGTGACAAGAATAGCCATTCACCTCAGTCTCTGATAGTACACAAATCTAAGTCATAATGGATGCTGAATATGTCTTATGCAATTGGAAAGACCAGTTATGGCCAGCAAAAGTTTTGTCCAGATGTGAGACTTCATCAAACAGTAAGAGAAAGAAGACATTTTCCCTAGAAGTTCAAATACTCTCACTAGATGAAAAAATTAAAGTGGAAAGCAAGGAAACCAAAATCCTAAATAAATCTCAAATTGAAGCCATTGCCTCCTCAATAGCAGCACAGTCAGAGGGCAGTTCTTCACCTAGAGAGGAAACAGCTTATGCAAGATCACTAAAAATGGCACTGGGTATTCTGAATAAGAGAACAAATTTGAATCAAACAAGCAGTTCAGATGAAGAAGAGACCACTACACTATCTCAAAATATACCACAAAAGCTTTCTAATTCACCCCCTCGCAAAAAGTATCGGAAGCCTAAAGGAAACTTATCAAAGTGTCTTGAAGAAAGTGAAATTCCAACATTTCTATTAGTATCTTCAGAGAGTGATGATTCCCTGTATGATGATAAATCACAAGTGCATGCAACCATTGATACTATTCCAAGTGAGATGGAAACAAAATCATCACAAAACTCCAGCTGGTGCCAAATTTTCTCTTCACTTTCAGAAGATGATGAAAAGGAGAGCAAGAAAAAGATTGACATCCCAACAATTATGCCTTTGGATTCTACAATCAAAGAGGAAGATGCTTATGTTAAAGAAGAGAAGTTCAATCCAACTTCATCACCAAATATCTACATTGTGCCAAAAAATTTGAAAGAGGAGCCAGAAGATATCTACCCAAAGACCCTGGCCATTTCCTCTGAATGCTCTACCTTATTAGAGAATATTGAGGATCCTGGAGAGGGTCCCTCAAATTCATGCTTAGATACCAGCCAGAATCAACCTGTGGAATCAGAGTCAGGTGCTCTGGCATCCCCCAGTCATTGTTCATGGGAATATCAGGTTTCATTTAGTGCCTCTAACCGTGTCATGGATTGTTCACTCCATAATGAAAGAAGTGACCAGAATCCAGATTTTGAGGAATATGGAGAAGAACTCCAAGCTTCTGATAAATCAGTGCCTCTAAATCCTATTGATCCTTCTGTACTAGATGATGATGAGGAAGACGAAGTACTTCCACCCGTTGTTTTTCATTATGAGCCACGTTCATTTGAAGCAGGAATGATAGTCTGGTTTAAATATAAAAAATATCCATTTTGGCCAGCCATAGTGAAAAGCATCAGACGAAAAGAGAAAAAAGCAAGTGTGGTTTTTGTTGAGGCAAACATGAATCCTGTAAAGAGAGGCATTAGAGTGCTTTTGAGAAGTTTAAAAAAATTTGATTGTAAAGAGAAACAAGCACTAGTGGATAAAGCCAGGGAGGATTACAGTGAAAGTATTGACTGGTGCATCTCACTGATTTGTGACTACAGAGTTAGACTAGGTTGTGGTTCCTTTACAGGCTCTTTTCTTGAGTATTATGCTGCTGACATTAGTTATCCAATCAGGAAAGTAATCAAACAAGATACCTTTAGGAACCTATTTCCAAAGCTACATAATGAAGATTCTAAGGAAACAATGGCCATGGCTTCCCAGACCAAGAGAATGTCCTTCAAAAAAATTCTTCCTGACCGAATGAAGTCGGCTCGGGACCGAGCCAACAGGAATCTAGTGGACTTCATTGTGAATGCAAAAGGAACAGAAAACCATCTTCTGTCCATTTTAAATGGCACAAAAGCATCCAGGTGGCTGAAATCATTTTTGAAAGCAAAGAGGTTCACTCCTTGTATTGAAACATACTTTGAAGATGAAGATCAGTTGGATGAGGTGGTAAAATATTTACAAGAAATCTACAAAAAAATAGACGAACGAATGCTAGCTCGAATAAGAGATGATAAAATTAAATTTATCCTAGAAGTTCTTCTACCAGAAGCAATCATTTGTTCAATTTCTGCAGTTGATGGATTAGATTACAATGAAGCTGAAGCAAAGTATCTAAAAGGGCCATCTCTAGGATACAGGGAAAGAGAGTTATTTGATGCAAAAATCCTATTTGAAAAGAGACGGAAGCCATCAACAAAAGCTCACTAAATCACCTGCATGTCCAAATCATAACAAGAAGCTTTCATAAATATTAGTGTTTAAAAAAAAACCCTAACATATTTTCCAGAAACTGGAGGCTTTAGGTAATGTATTCAGGTTTTGTTGTGTGTGGTTTTTTGCGATCTCTATGATCTGTCAATATTACTGCATCAACATTTTCTTTCTTATGCTTCTTTAAAGTCAATCTTATTAACAGATTTTAGCAGTTCTATCTCATTCATTTTTAGAATTCATAATTCTTAAATAATTTTAAGAGAAAGTACTGTTTTGTTTTTTGACATCTTTGTGTCTATGCTGTATAGTTAAATACAGGGTACACAATCACTTGCATATTAAAATTGCACTAGTATTAGATATTAAGCGAGATGATTAGAAAGAAGTCTAAGGAACATTGATTATATTATATATTTTTGCTTAGTTTTTATAAAATAATAGGTTTCTCCTAAGATAGTTGAATTATTTTTCCTGCCATACCTATTTATTTTTGGAAAAATATATCTGCGACAAAGAACCAAAGATAGAGATGCTTTGCTATATATTATAACTGTAATTGCTTTTGTAAGAAAACAATCTGGAATTCAAAAATAAAGTAAATGGATTATCTGCATGCAGTCTATATGTGTGAGAATAACATCTCAGCATGCAGAAAATAATTTTGGCAGCCTGGAACAGGATTGTTCATTCTATACTTCCCTGAAATTCCATTTGTGGAGTGTCTATTATTCAATAGGTGAATAGTTTCTTAAACAGACATCATAACTAACAGTATCTGTATCTAAATATAGCCATCTGACCACATAGTGGAAGAAAACTAGAGTCATTGTATTTATAGTCTGGCTACTCTAGAGTATGAGTACAGGCTGATTGCTTAAGAGCCCATCTAGTTTGTTATAAACTGTAGAAAATGCAAACATTTTGTTCTGACTATAGTATCTCTAAATATATAGACATTTGTTTAAACCAAGCACTCTGTATATTAGTAAAATAGTCCCAGTTAGTTCCAACAATATACATACCAACTGGTAAGTCATTCCAGGCTAAAACAAAGAGTAGATGGACCAGAATCTGTGAATTTGGAAATGAGTCATAGAAAAGGCCTCCACTTGGCCAAATATGACAATTATCCAAATATATTTAAAAGTATACAGCTGACAGTTGAAGTCTGAAACCAATGAATAGCTTATTCTAACTTGAAATAAGATTTTAGTGAAAATAAATGTTATAAGGGCTACTTTATTTTAGAAACTTGACATAAAAATAAACACTAGAGGCTTAACATGAACCTGTCTGCATTTTTATTCTTAGAGTGAGACAAGTGTTACTCTTAGGCTTTTGTTATATGTTTCCATGGCCACATGTTTATGTAAAATTCGCAAAAGTTTGATGTTTTCATTTGTAATAAAACCATTAGATCTTTCATTTTGAATGTTCACTTCATCATACTTCAGATCGTGCAGTTACTAACTGGTGTTTCTCTGTTTGGAATTTTGCTTGTTGTAGTTGTCATCATTTTAATGCTTGTTATACATTATCTTTTCATTCTAAATAAATATTAACTTTTATGTTTGATTTTGTATTATTTTAAAATAAAGTTTTCCAAATTGCATAAACTTTAGATTCCCTAAAACCTTCTCTTGGTCTGCCTGATAAAGACTAAGACTGCTTTAAAATAACTTCCTCATGATCTTGAGGAGTATTTGATAACAGACCATCACCACACGATATGTGAGCTTCATTTCCTAGGAAACCACACTGTATGTACTCTATAGCTTTCCCTTTTATTCCAATATATTGCCCACGTTTGGTTTTCTCCATGGAGCCATTTCTATCTTTTGTTTTTGATATTATCTTTACTATCTTATTTGTGTATTCACTCATTCATATATTTGATAGTCAGGAGAGCAAGCAATGGTTTAAAGCTCTGCTCTGCTCTAAGGATTTAAGGTTACCCAAATGACAAGGTCAAATTTAAAGTGAGCTAGATGACAATGTAATATCTAAAAGCACTAGAATTCATTATCTTACCTAATAAAAGAGTAATATGCAAATTAACCATCACTCTGCTATACCCACCAGCCATGCCCACCAGCCACGCCCACCAGCTAATCAGAGTGAGTATGCAAATTAACCTCAACCAAGATGGCTGCAGTCACAGAGAGCAGTTGAGAGGCTTGGGTTTCCCTGGCAATAGAGGAAGTAAGCTTCCCACACACCCTGGCCAGCCCAGGCCTCCACTCAAGGATACAAAGTTTCAATTATAGAAGATAAATCCCAAGAAAAATGGCGGCAGCCATGGAGCTGGAGAGAACAGGCTAAGATTGCCCCTGGCAACAGAGGAAGCCAAGTTTTCCATCTGCCCTAGCTGGCCTAGGCCTCCACTCCAGACTACAAAGTTTCAATTATAGAAGGTAAACAAATCCAAACAGAAATGGTAGGAGCCACAAAGCGAGGAGTGCGCTTGGCTTCACTCCAGGCTACAAAGTTTCAATTGTAGAAAGTAAATAAATTCCAGATACCAGGGACTCTGCTTGGGTCGCTGGGAGGCCTGGCTGGCCTGCAAACCACCACAGGCTTGTCACCCAGGCCACCCCATGCCCTAAGGGAACCCCCACTCTGATCCAGGACACCCTTCAGGGCAAACCAGCTGGCTCCCATCCATGTACCAAGCCTCTATCCTATCTAATAAAAGAGTAATATGCAGATTGACCATCACTCCAACACATAAGATGGCTGCCCCCATGTGGTCAAAGATCCTCCCCCATATGGGCACAAGATGGCCACCACAAGATGGCAAGCGGGGGAAGGCAAATGAGAGGGACCAGATCTGCAAGGAAGGGCATTTGGAGGTGATCCACCCTGCAGGGGAGGGCAGTTAGGGGTGACCAGGTCGGCAGAGAAGGGAAGTTGGGGACAAACAGGGTGGCAGGGGAGCAGTTAGACATCAATCAGGCTGGCATGGGAGTGGTTAGGGGGTGATCAGGCTGGCAGGCAGAAGCAGTTAGGGGCAATCAGGAAGGCAGGCAGGAGAGCAGTTGGGAACCAGCAGTCCTGGATTATGAGAGGGATGTTCGAATGCCCATAGGGATCGGGTCTAAATGGGCAGTTGAACATCCCTTGAGGGGTCCCAGATTGGAGAGGGTGCAGGCTAGGGTCCCAGATTAGAGAGGGTGAGAGACCCCCACCCCCCATCCCTTACCCCATGCACAAATTTCGTGCACCAGGCCTCTAGTTTTATCATAAAAGTGAGTAATGTTTATTACTCTCACTGCCTGTATTTGAAAACCAGAGTTCCAGGTCTCCACACATTTGTGAGTTACTGGGTTTGGGTTAAAGGTTACCTGATTCCTCCTGGTATGTCATTTATATTGTGACATATATTGAAGTGAGGAAGATGTGGCTCAGACATGCATTTATTTTCTTCTTTGCATGAATCTTTAACCTAAATTTGTGTGTCTGATAGGAATGTGTACCTAATTCATTAGATTAAAGAGACCCCCATCTCTTCCAATCATAAGGCAGATTTTCTGCTATCAGGCCCATATTATAATTGAAAGGTTGGCAGAGAAGCATGAAAACTATTTACAACATTTACAGGTCTATATATCAATATATGAGTCCTAATAAGGAGAGAGTACAACTCTGAAACCTATATTAGTGATGGATGTGAGAATCTTATATCTACAATCCCACCTCCTTAGCCAGCCAAAAACAGTCTCTAACACTTGTTATTAGAAAACAGCTTTCTTGTTCATGGAAACAAGGCAATAATCTCCTCTAAGGCAGCTATCTCAAAGGACATTGTTTGTCTTAATGTCCAGCACATATTTTTCATTGATCCCAATTCATTGAAAGGGTAAGGTATCACTGTACCAAAAGCAAAATGCAATTTCTGTTTAGGTGGAAAATCCGAAACTAGCTAAAATATACCAGCATGTTTTGGAATGGTTTTTGAGAATATCAAATTAGCAACGGATTATAAGTGGGTATAGAGGGAAATTTACATGGGAGTACACACTTGTGACTGCTAGGTGGCATCTTTAAGTTTGGACAACAGCCTACAGTCAATAAGACGGAGATACTGGAACTTCTTTGCCAGAATATTTAGGAATTGGTAAGAAGGTCAAATGGAGTGAGGGTAGTATAAATGAACCAAGAGGACCTATCTCTGAACTATTTTCCCCTGAAGGGCAGAGAAAGCACTACTATAATAGTGAGGGGGAACATTAAAAACTTTTAGTAGCTCAGTGTTGGCATTCCTTTACAAACCATGACTGGAAGAAAACTATGTTACAGTAGGAATGATAGGATTCCAGAATGGCAGGGTCCAGGTGGCAGCACAAAAGCTCAGGGGAAGTAGGGTGTCATTACCACAATGAGAACCAAGATCAGAGTGGGGTCAGGTTATGGTGATCGACAGAAATCTGTTGTAATGCCAAATAATATTCCAAGGCTAGCTGTTCTAACAATTGACTAGAGTATTATTTATGTTCATAGTTGTACTATTTACAATAGTTAAGATGGGGAAATAGCCCAAGAGCCCATCAGTAGATAAGTGGATAAAAAAGCTGTGGTACTATGCACAATGGAATACTATGCAGCTGTAAAAAAGAAGGATCTCTTACAGTTTGAGATAGCATGGAAGGATCTGGAAAGTATTATGATAAACAAAATAAGCCAGTCAGAGAAAAATATTACATTATGTGACTTATATGTGGAATCTGATAAGCAAAATAAACTGACAAAATAGAGCCAGAGCTATGTATGCATGCAACAGACTGACAGATATCAGAGGGAAGGGCAGTAGGACAGGTGGGAGGAGATTAAGCAAAGAACTTATATGCATATATGCATAGCCCATGGACACAGACAATAATTCGTTAAAGGCCTATGGTGGGAGCAGAGCTGGGTAGTGGGGTGCATCTGTAATACTGACAACAATAAAAAATAAATTTTAAAAATGGGGGAAAAAAGAAAAAGAACCTTAGCAA